TCAACACGACACGGAACAATGGCACAATTACACAGCAGACAAACACATTGAGTGAGTAGAAATACTTTGATTGAATATATAAAAATATATTGCATTGTACAAATTCACTTTTTTCCACATCCTACATGTATTTGTTACATTTAAACAATGTTTGTAAATCCCAGGCCCGAAGATGATCTCAATAAAGATCGAAACGTTGGCACGACAAAGAAAATGTTTTTCTGAAACCTACATCACACCAGATCGCATTTCACGATTTTCTAATAATTTCAGAAAGTGTTTCTACTCACCAAATGCAACAAAAAACTTCCTAAACTCTCCTGTCCAAAAAAAATAATTACAGGTGTTTTTTTTAATTTTTCAACTTAGGTACACTAAATTGGTTTTTACCTTCAGAATTACTCACTGAAGACTTTCATGAAAAGAAGAAGACAATCAGCGAATTCTACATCGATTCAATTTAGTGGATTTGGACTGGAGTTTATAGAGAGTTTTATATGTATATATATATATATATATATATATATATATATATATATATATATATATATATATATATATATATATATATATATATATATATATATATATATATATATATATATATATATATATATATATATATATATATATATATATATATATATATATATATATATATATATATATATATATATATATATATATATATATATATATATATATATATATATATATATATATATACTTATGTTAATTATGAACCATTCTGAGAAAATATGTGTTGAATATATTTAGTGTATATGGAACTGTATATCCATTTAATCAACAACTTTTTTAGATCAATCTAAAACGTTAAGATTAAGAATCACTTGATAATGTTTATATAAAGTATTGACCGTTCCATTAGTTTGTTAAAATAATAAATTTCTAAATTAATATTGAGTAGTACAATGTGCTCGACGCTGAGGGCTCTTCACCTAAATCAAAATGTCGAAAAAAAATCAAAATTTCCTGCAATCTAAATGAAATGGTTGAGTTTTATTTTTTAATACATGATTGGTAAATGCATTAGTAATCTGCTTTGTGTTTAAGTGCTTGTGTTTAAAAATAAATCAAGTAGTTAATTTAATCAACACAAATGACTTTATTTTTAAATTTAGAAGATTATTCAAGAAACTGCAAAAAAAATAACATACTGCCAGATGTACTGTTGTTATTAAATTTTATTTAACGACTAACGATATAACTAATATGTTGTTTTATTAACTAAATTTGAAATTGTGTATATTCCAAACAGACGTAAAAGCAGAATTTTCCATTCCAAACTTAATTAAGTAATAAAATTAATTATTTATTTTACCTATAGACCAGGTCATAAAAATATAGTATTAACATCATTATCTTTTAAGCTATGATTGAAATGTTATTAATTTCAGCTGCGTTAGAAAATCATTCTGATTTTTCTCTTTTTTAACAATTTTTATTTTAAAGATTGGTCGTTTCTTTATCAACCGATTATGTACATTTTTCAAAATGTCTAATCTAACAAGGTTTACTAATCGTTTACATAATTTGAAATAAGACAACTTATCTTATCTCGCAGACTATTGACTGTCCAACGGTAAACGGGTTTTTATTTTTGTCTCGAAAAACGGAAATGCCATCTGGATAAATAGGAATTTGAAGGATTATTCTTTTAACATGTTCTAGAAAGCACATGATTAAAGGTAACCCAATTAACATAATTGGGATAATTGATATAGCTTTCCTTGGTGGTATACTGATACTATTATCAAATAACTAAACAATAGTGATGGTGAGTTATATTGATTACTTCTGTTTCAAGAAAAACAGTCTTTAATAGAACATTAAATTGCGGGAAAAGTTCATTTTTCGTGACGTTAGGGTTATAAGCAGGGAGTGGCGATACTCCTACTCCTGCCATTTGTTTTCAGTCATTCGCAAAGGATATTCAGGAAACTATCAACAGTATTGTTCGATCATTAATAACGGCAACACGTTTCAATTATCCAATTGACCAATTGACGAAAAACTAGTTTCACTACGTTTTTAATAATCTGTGGATTTGAATAGGAAATACCTTGTGCTGTCTGCATTTCAACAAATAGGCTTTCTGATTGATGGCCGATGCGAGTTTCTTCTCATTGTTGGCGATGTCCTTCAGAATACTTTTTGCTTCGTGTCCAAATGTAGTTGAAGAACAAAGAACATGGGATTCTATGAACAAATTTCACCTACAATCTGTAGATTATATGTTTATTATTGATATTTCTTTTTATTTTTGGATATAATGCGAATCCAAAGGGATAATTTAATACTGTATCGTATGGATTTTACATCTACCTCTGCAAACGCTTATTATTTATTAGCTTTGCTTTAATAATTTGTTTATGAATTTGTGTAAAAACACAATCATTGCTTTTAAGTTAAGTTAAGATTTAAGTTTAAGTTTTAACCACAATTCTAAGCACCAGAAGTGGATATGACTAACTACGAACCCCCACGGTCCCATTCTTTAAATTTATTATAAGACATCTCCCATTAAAAAAATGCCCAGGCTTTGACCTCATCACAACAAAAATCCTCAGAAATCTTCCCGAAAAGCTATAATTTTCCTTACCACCATTTACAGTTCGGTCCTTAATCCTATCTCGTACCCAATTAAATGGAAATTGTCAATTATAAAACCCATTCCCAAACCACAAAACCTCAACATCTCCCTAAGTCATATCACGCCATCAGATTGCTGCTATGACTTGATAAAATCCTTAAAACAACTGAAATATCTGTTTTGAATGAGCCAATGTTTTGCCAATCAATTCGGTTTCGACGACATCACTCTACCATTCATCAGTATTACAGGGCTAGGGTGAGATCGATGTTTTTTCATTTTCTTAGACGTTAGGAAAGCCTTCGATTCAGTTTGACTTCCGGTCTTGTCCTGGAAACTCAACCGCATCCTTCCATTCATTCTGTTAGGTACTTCAAGTGAAAATCTGTCCCTATTCACTATGCCGAAGCTGGTGTTTTACAAGGCAGTATCCTTGGCCATTGTGAACCCTCACCAAGACTGGCAAAAGCACTGCTGCAATTGGAGAGGGCCAAACTCAGAGGAGAGGTTGGACTACTAACCGGTCAATGGCATCTCAGAAAAAATCTACCCAACATGGGTGTATACAACGATGATCCCATCTGCAGATTATGTAATGGGGAGGAAGAAACAGCCACTCCTCATATCATCTTCGAATGCGAAGCAACAGCTCATTGGAGATTCTACCTACCTTCGGAATAACTTAGGGAATCAAATTGCAGCAGCGACAGTCAATGACCTAACACTTCTAAGGAGAAGGGTTGAGTCTATTGCACTGAACTAAGGAACTAGGAAGGTACAATAAGCCAGAAGGCTGTAGTGCCTGGGAGTGCAAACCCCACTTCCTAGTATCCTTTTTCACCATACCATACCTAGGTCCCTTCCTCTGCTCAATATGTATTGCAGACATTCCGATCAATCCCGCTACATATGCAGATGATACCGACATCCTTTCAAAAATTCAGACTCATTAGAGGCCTTCAAAAACCACCAGGACCATATCTCCTGTGTGGAACAATGGTTCAAGAAATGGAGGATTAAACTCAATGAAACCAAAACTTCACCCTCCAGCATATAACTTCTCCTCCAATTTACTGCAAATCTTTTCCTTTCCCCAGCAACTATTGTCGTCCGCTATTTGGGACTTTTCATCGACAAAACGAAACCCCACACTCGACTCAAAAGAATATAAATGAACAGTCGGTAGATATAAAATAAAAACTGTATCAGCTTAATTTAGATTAAGATTAATATATAAAACAGGTAGAAAGCTTTGGAACATTATCATGTTTAAACTAGTAAATACAATAAATTAATTAAAGTTTTAAGTTGAGATAAAAAAGTTAGTGTTACGAGCGGGATTCGAACCCGCGATAGCTCAAATGGTAGAGTAATGGCGTATCAAGCCGAAGGTCGTAGGTTCGAATCCCACTTGTGACACTAATTTTTTTATCTCAACCAAAACCTTAGTTAATATAGTTGTTAATAACAATAACTTAAATTTCTGTTTAATATTACGTAAGAAAAGATATAGGCCTAGTGTAAAATTGTTCACACTTTAAATCCGAACAAAAAGCATAAAGTACCTATTTTCCGCATTAAAATTGTACTGATAGCAATTGATTACAAATTTCAAATTAGGCTTATTTTGTAGGGAAAAAACATTAAACTGAGTAAATAGTGAGAGAAGTGAAACATTCCAGTAAAATATTGCGTTTATCCACCCCCTATCTGTTTCTCTTTTTACACCGTCAAAATCGTATAGGACCTTCTCTCTCTCATACTTCGGCCAAAACTTGTTTAATATTATAGACATAATATTTCAAAATAAATATTAATATATTCTATGAAACAGTTGCAACATCCTCAATCCTGCCATGTTTTAGTTAGTTTTAGTTTCACTAAATTCGTGGTCCGCTTGACCAATTAATATCTTACAGCGGACCACGAAATTAGTGAATTTAATACGTTTAAAATGAAGTATACCTTCACTAAAGCTCCCCGTCGCCATTTCATTTGTCGCCGAGAATCAAAAAGATTACACGACATTTGAAAAATGGCAAAAAGGAGGGAAAATTCAAAAGGTGGGGTTGAGATGGGAGGTTAGTAGTTAGGTAAATAGCTCAAGTGGTTGTACCAGCGGCATATTTAGCCCAAGGTCGTGGGTTCGAATCCCGCTCGTGACACTAACTTTTTTATCTCAACTTAAAACCTTAATTAATTGATTGATATTATTTGGTCAATCGGACCACGGAATCTAATCGATCTAGTAAATACATTTTTTTACATGCCATGCTTTGATTTTAATTACAAAAAAATTGAAACCCCGCAAAGTAATGTTGCTGTCTATTTTAATGTGAACAACCTAAACTATTTGTTTTTCTTTAGTACTCGTTTTTTGTTTAAGTGTAGTGGAAATCAGAACGAGAGCAGTGTCATGACGATCACGATGCCAGCAGACGAGCAGAAATCCGTCCAGGAAAAAGTCGCGATGGATAAACCGACACAATTTGAAGGTAATTAATATTAATTTTGATAAATTTTTAAATGGAAAATTTACAAATTTGCCCTTTTTTCTTTAAATTTTATATATGAATATAACTTAATTAAATAATTAATTTTGTATATTTAATTTGTACACGCGTATGGACGAACATTTAATTTTTATTGACACATTTACTCTCATATCTCTTGCTTTCATAAACGCATGCACGCACATATATATGCATATACGTATGTCCTTTTTTTGGGAGGCGTCTTGATCTCGTACGTTGTAACACGGGCAATGCACCATTGTTAGCTGTCATTAAATTAACGATAGTTTAAAATTATGGTCCTGACTTTTGTGGGATGGAATTTCACTAGCAATTCCCGTAGGCATGATAAGACCCGGTTAGAATTTGTGCGTCCTGTGTACCTGGGACAGTGTTCCAACCCCAGCGATTTACAATAGTTATACATATTAATAGCATGCCAGGAGTAATTTGTGTAATTTATAGTGTGGTGTATGGGTCTTGTGAGCGTAGGCATAGTGAGCCTAAGTGGCTTAACAGGCGCTGCCCTATTTCCAATCATCAACAGCCCTTTGTACGGACACGTTATGACAGCTTTGATAGGACTTGCCGTCGGATCTCTGACTTCTACGGCTCTTTTCCAACTTATACCCGAGGTGAGAAAATTAAATTTATTAAAAAGATAACAATAATTAATATGTTAGTAAGTACAATAAGCAAAAAAGAATTATAAACGATAAATGCGGTCATATCGTTATTTATTACCAAACCAAAGTGTACAATGCAGTATTATGAAATCAAGAATCAAATGGTTATTTCTGCAAATAGATTTTGTATAAATTAATTTGAAAATTTTCTTTTGCAATTTGAACCATAGTAGAACCAATATCGCTGTTTATTAATTTATGCATTGGATACGGTGAAATATGTCTGTTACATAAACATTTGAGAAGTTTGAAACCTACATATCCGTGAAATAGATTGAATGAATAATTGAAGTTCTCAGAAATACGTTAGTTCTATGCCCAACAAAATTTGCTATCCAAACTATAGAGATTGACCCGATCTGTCTAAAACAAGGTGAATGTGGGCAGGAATAGAACTCCAGAAATACTTCAGAGATACAGATAATAGATTTGCATAATAAAATATTTAAAAATAAATTACTAGACGAAATTAAATACAGGTAACCTGACGATGTTTTTTTTATTCATAATTGTGAAAAATGTAAGGATTTTATAGTAAGTAGTTTGTAAATTATATTTATATCATATCGGATATAAATATAAATATATATAAATATAAGATATAAATATTTTTCGATTTGAAGCTCAAATTTATGTACATTTTTTTAATTTAATATTTATTTTATCATTTGTATTATAAATTAAACAAAATATCGATATTGGCTTGTGCTTAGGCAAGTGCTATAAGTATATTATTACTTCAACGATCAATTTTTTACGATAAATAAGATTTTACTCATTCCAGTTAATATTCTTTTCATTTAAGGTTTTTGGTCGAGATGAAAAATTTGTGACACGAGAGGGATTCGAACCTACGACCTTCGGCTCAATACGCCGATGCTCTACCACTTGAGCCATCGTGACCTCGATCCACTCGGACACTTCCCATCTCAACCTACAAAAGTTCGAATTCCTCCTTTTGCGATCTTAACCAAAAATCATAGATGAAAAGAATAATTAAATGGGATAGTTAGTATGGTCAATTATGGCCACTAAACAAATATGGATTAATTTAATATAATTTTAACCTGAGCTTAGAAATGTGTGGTATTTAGTGACGGTTAGTTAATTATTATTTGGAGATTGTGAGATGCAGGTCTGGTTTGACGTAGGTTTTAGAAAAACATTTTCTTCATCGTGTCAACGTTTCGACCTTTATTGGGATCATCTTCAGGGCCTTGGATTTATAAACGTTGCTTAAATTATACAAATACATGGAGGATGTGAAAAAATGAATTTTCTAGCATTGTATAAATGGGGGGATTTATAAACATTGTTTAAATTTTACAAATACATGGAGGATGTGAAAAAATGAATTTATACAATGTTAGAAAATTTTATATTCTATCAAAGTATCAAAGTATTTGATTCAATATAAAATTTTCTAGCATTGTATAAATTCATTTTTTTCTTACATGTATGCGAAAAATTTAAACAATGTATATAAATCCCAGGCCCTGAAGATGATCTCAATAAAGATGGAAACGTTGGCACGATAAAGAAAACGTTTTTCTGAAACTTACATCACATCAGACCTCATCTCACGATCTCCGAATAATCATTAACTTGATCGATGACCTGATAATCCTTAATAATTCCAAGGGCAATGTCATCAATATGAATTCTCTTTGCTGTAAAAAGTATATTAATCTTTTTCATTGAAAAGAAAAGGAAAGCAAAACAGATACGAATTAAACGAGGCAAAAAATAGGTCGGAAGGCTGCTAGTGATTATTCTCTGCGTTATCTTGAATGAAGGGAAGTTTCGCTAGTAGAAAAATAAACATTACTACAATATATACCCATCGGTGATTTTTGAAGGGGATGAAATGCCGAAGGGAAGAGAGATTTTCGAGGGCAGGTGCTAGAGAGAACCCGAGACACAAGATTAAGAAGAATGAGTACCTGACTAAAATCGATTTTAGTTACCTTGTTATATGTTTCGTGGGGTTGTTTATACTTCGTTTTTCCTTTTATTATATACACTTATTAAGAATATTTTATTTATCTTTATTGCGGTAGTTTTAAAAAAATACTATAAGTAAGTCGATTAGGTTTCGTAGTCCGATTGACCAAATAAATAATTTTCAATTAATTAATTTTTGAGTAAGGTGTTTGTTGAAAACATGACAAAAAGGAAGGAAAGTTCAGAAGGTGGGGTTGAGATGGGAAGTTGGTGTCCGAGCGGATCGAAGTCACGATAGTTCAAGTGGTAGAGGAGCGGCGTATTTAGCCGAAGGTCGTGGGTTCGAATACCGCTCGTGACACTGACTTTTTTATCTCAACCGAAATCTTAATTAATTGAAAAGAATTTATTGGGTCAAGCGGAACCACGAAACCTAATAAATGTAATAAGCAAAATGAAGTATACTTCACTAAAACTCTCCGTGGCCATTTCATTTGTCGCCGAGAATAAAATTACACGACATTTGAAAAATGGCAAAAGGAGGGAAAAACCAAAAAGCTGGGGTTGAGACAGGAAGTTGGTGTCCGAGTCGATCGAAATCACGATGGTGTTCAAGTGGGTTCGAATCCCGCTTGTGACACTGACTTTTTTATCTCAACCAATACTTTCCTTAAAGATTAATTAATTGCAAACTATAAGTAATGTTTATTTTCTTTTCTTTACAAGATTAGTGTATTTAATATAATTTTGAGTGCTTTTCGATAAAATTTCTAAACAAATTACAACTGTTAGTTGCAACAATTATAAAAATGTTAGCAGGCAATTATTTTGTACAGCGTAGTAGCCAGTCGGGTAAATTATGCCCTCAATAATATATTAAAAAACTGTGTGACTGATTAATTGAAAGAGAAGTTGTTTAATGAGTAACTTAGTGAGTGACTAAAGCCAGGAACACACTTACCCGATGCTACGCCATGCGACGCTACCCGATGCTACCCGACGCCTTGCCACGTTTTGGTAGGGTGTGCACATCTATCCATCGCAAGCACACGTCGCGTACAGTCCACAGCGTTTATCACAATAATCACTATCACAATCGCAACGCATCTTTTGTTCTTAATGCAATATTTTGAGTAAAACCTTGTAATAAATTGTTAGTTAAATTTTATGAGCACAACCATCTAATAAATTGAGTGAAAGGCAGAATGTACAAAGTTCATAATAACTGGACACGATTTTGCAGCTCTATTTATTTTGATTGTACAAAACACGTCAAAATGACAAAATAAAAAGTACATCAAATATTTACTTTAAATTTGTTTCGATAAATTATTTTAAAAGTTTTGTTTATTTGTAGAAAAATGATTGGTTTAAAATCATAAATGCCGAAACCATCAAAACTTTCCAGCTGCAATATTTCTAGAATAGTCATCAGTTATAAACTGGCTGTCGGAAATGATGAATTACGGTCGGTAAGTTGATCAAGTTTTGATCAACTCCAGCCCGTTTGTTCTTCTTACCATTACGTTAATACTGACGGATACAGTTTTGTAATTTGGAAAGATTAATAATCGTATATCACTACGTGTAGATATGAACTTTGATTGATGACGAGTTACCATAGCTGCACATTATGAGCACATGGTCTCTCTAGATCGTCAGAGGAGTTTTGCCATTGAGACGACATATACAATAATAATAGTAATGCATACAAAATTATACAAATATTCTCTTTACAATAAAATTCAAATCTTATTCGGAGATAGTTAGATGCTGTCTGGTTTGACGTAGGTTTTAGAAAAACATTTTCTTCATCGTGCCAACGTTTCGATCATTATTGAGATCAGCTTCAGGGACTGGGATGATCTCAATAAAGATCTAAACGTGTGGTGATTAGTGACCGTTAATCGATAATTATTTAGAAATCGTGAGATGCGGTCTGGTGTGATGTAGGTTTCAGAAAAACATTTTCTTTATCGTGCCAACGTTTCGATCTTTATTGAGATCATCTTCAGAGCTCAAAGTGTTTGTCTTCTGTGTAATTGTGCCATTCTTGCCGTGTCACAGTGGCACTCTCCACACGATACGCAAGAATGGCACAATTACACAGAAGACAAACACTTTGAGCCCTGAAGATGATCTCAATAAAGATAGAAACGTTGGCACGATAAAGAAAATGTTTTTCTGAAACCTACATCACACCAGACCGCATCTCACGATTTCTGAAAAAAGATCGAAACGTTGGCACGATAAAGAAAATGTTTTTCACAATCTCCGAATGAGCATTAACTAACGGTCACTAAACACCACAAAAAAAAAAAAAAAAAAAAATTAATTGAAATAATTTAAGTAACATTTTTTCTTAACTCAGCTTTTTAATATGAATAGACAAATTACTAATATTTTTCCCATTAATATAAGCCAAAGATTCACACCCTTCTAGAACAGGTTTTCCCAACGATTTCTTTCTTATCCCAGAGTATCTCAAAAATAAAATGCAAAATCCCTTCTGGGGTGGTATATTTAAATGCTGCACATGATATGAATCTTCAGCACCAAATGTTGTTTCTTGTAATTTTAAAATTTCTCCCCTTACTTTAACAATCCAACGTATACTTTGCACATTTAAGTGTTTGCTCCACATGTACCGATCAACGACTCCAAAAAATTTAAAATTTTTATAAAGGGAATATTTTTATTATTTAAACTACAAAACAAACATTATAGTGTCTTTTTTATTGCTTTTTGCAGCTCATTGAATACACTGATTTTGTACAGCTCCATTGCATTTGACACCTCCTTAAACAAACAAGTGTTAGACCGGATATTTTCACATGAAACCATTTTTGGATATCTTGATGAGGACATAGGCAGCACCCTGACCACACAGTCACAGCCTAATTTGAGTGTAAAAATCTGAACAGTTTCTGTATTCGTCTCCAATTGTAACAATGCTGCCGGATACCAAGGCGGAATTCTTAAGAGCTTCTTCAAGAAAGTTCAAG